CTACAAATATATATATGTTTCAGGATAGAACAGGGGAATGTCTGAAACGCACAGGTGCAAGTGTGGCCCTTACATCTATTAGCAATGTTACTGCATTCTTCATGGCCGCCTTAATTCCCATTCCAGCTCTACGGGCATTTTCACTCCAAGTAAGTTCATAAAGCCGGGTCACGACATTTAATTTATTACTTCTCAATACAGTCCAGAGATGAAGTCCTTCAGGTTCAACACAACTGAGCGGAACTGGTGGAGGAAAGCTGGCTGAGGGCATAGTGTTTGGATTGGATGAACAGCGCAGAAATTCCCAGTTAGGGAATGATTCTGCAGGGAGTGAACTGATATCATGTTGACAACATGTTCTGCACTGACATTCATATCAGAGGAATATAGGTTAGAGCAATTTCCCCCAGTCTGACTGGGGACAATAACGACTGTAGCCCAAGTTTCCAGAGGGCATCAGTTTGGGGAAAACTATTATAGACCATGTTTAATTCTAGAAGTGCTTCTTTTCATGAGTGTGGTTTAACTGAAACTGCCTAGGAGAAATTGTCTCCTATATGTAATTTTTGAATTTATGTTTTAAAATATAGAAGATTTACTATTTCTTTAAAAACCTGATAGACACAGTAGAAATTGTGAGCTGAAAGTGAGAACATTAGCAACCTTTTCGAAATGTGTCTTAAAAGCTCTGAAACTAGCGCATACTCCATAGCAGGTACATTTATTTCCTTAGAAGAGGAGAAATATACTTTTCTTAGATGAAAGGTGGATTTTAAAGATGAGCCTATGAGGTATGTGGCGGCCTTGTGGCTGCAAGTTCCTAGCCACAATATTTGGAATTATGTGCTGGGGTAAAAGAGGAAAGTAGCGTTCGGTTGATAGAATGAAACTGGAACTTGTAGAATTATCTTTGTAATGCAAACACCAGGCAAAGTGGGGCAAAAAGACACTGCATTTTGATAAGTTCTCTAAACGTCTTACTGTTGTGAATGAGGCCTGCATGCCAGATTCAGATGTGCAATCCACATCTCTATAAGTGAGAGGTTTTTGTGTGTCATATACAGTCTCATGTTGAAATTAATCTGATTCTTTTTTCCTCTGTTTATCAAAGAGGTTTGGTTTTATTAAAACAAAGCATAGACCTTGATGGCAGAATTCCATAGAGATAGGCTGATAGAAAGTGGTGTTTCTTTCTCCCCAGCATCCTCTGATTAATATATTGGAATCTCCAAGAAGCTGGAGAAGTTCAGTTAATAGAAGCAGAGGAATAATTGTTTCAGTAGTCTTTTGATTTTGTAGAAATAGCTAAAACATATAGCCAGGAATTTGTGCAAAATTTTTTATTTCTGTGTGCTGAGTTGTGCTAAATCTCAGGTTCACTATGTCTCTGTACCAGTTGTAAAGTGGAATGTTTAATCTCAGTTCTCAATCAAATATCAGGCTGTGTTCATAAAGATAGCATTTCTCTTTAGAATTTCTTGTGATCTCTAATAATAATTTGAAAACTCACTAATATCTTCTCAGAGATTTTGGCAGAGAACGTTGCATTTGTAGCAGACTACCATCAGTGGTCTATCGAAAGTATTGTGTTTTCTTTTGAATCCTCTTCTTCCTTCTTTTTCTTCTTCTGCTTTAACTGATTGGTAAGCCAGTGTGCGACCAGTTCCTTCCACATTGAATGTATGCATTTTAAAATTTGAAATTAAAAAGAGGTTGTTTTTTTTTTTACATTTTGTATTTTCTTTTTTTAAAATAAAGTTTTATTTTGTTTATGCTGTGAGATTGCTATGTCTCCCAAGGGATGGAAAGAAGAGCTAAATCCTCTAGTCACCATGCCTTTATACTACATGGCCAGGAGGTGGCATGGTAGAAGTTATTTTTTTGTATTTTGAGCTTTTAATCACCAGAAGAGCAGCACAGGGTGTGAGAGTCCTATTTCTCTCACATGGCAGGATTAGGGATGTGCATCAGATGAGGCACCCCTGGAAAGATAAGTGGTGGCAATAGCAAATGCTGAGCTAATACCCCAACTCAGGACAGGGAACAGTGTGTGAAGACCCAGAGGGTTTCTGGGAGAGGAGTTTTAGAACCTCCAGCCTTCCACCCTGCAAGCTTAGCAATATTTTACAGTTAAAAAATGAATTGAATATCATTATTTATATATTAAAGACATGACATATATGTGTACGTATTTTTCAATCTTTCTGTTTATGTCAAAGATTCCCACTCAGATATTGGAAAGGGTAGAAAATTATGGAGCTTACGCATAATGAAGCACATTTCTTCTCTATTGGTCTAGTGGGTAGGATACAAACCAATAGGTTTGAAATTAAGGAAACAGGACTTTGACCTAGCTTTGAAATGACTTCCTGCTTATTCAAGCTGTCCAACGGTGGAACAGACTGCCTCAGAAGGAAATACATTTTTCCATATACACAGGCTAGTTAGGAAGCTATTGGAAATGTAACAGCAGTGGATTTCCTGGATTGGCAAAAGATCTGACTAAAGACCTTTGAGACCCATTTCTATGATTTAATAGGTCAAATTAAATTAAATTAAATTTAGATTAAGTTAAATTTAAATTAAATGCATAATGCTTAGCCAGGATTTTTAGCTATGGCTTGTTGAACAAGACATAAAAGTTTGGCTTGCACATAATACAAAATTGGAATAGGCAGACTCATACTAATTGACCAAAAATAAATAAAATAGCATACATTCTACTACTGTCTCTATCATGTCACGAACTGTCTAAAGACATTGGTAATATGCAAAGGAGTTTGAATGAAATAAGAAATTCTCAAAATTCAGTCCCTCTACTTTCACTCATTGAGATGATATTCTGAATTGAAAATGAACATCCCATATCTAGATAAGTATCAGCAACCCTGTTCTCAGAAACTGACTGGACTACTATGAGTAATAGCAGTTTTGGTGATTTTCCTTCTTCTCAGTCCCTGAAAGAGAAAAATTCAGCCCTTACACCTCAAGTAAAAAGGACACTTAACCATAATTTTATTTGAAATGGTAACACCAATCTTAATCAGTCTTTCCCCTGAAAGTTATAGTGCTAGTTAAAATCAATTTCCATTCATTGTTCTAACTATTGTTTTATGGACCAAGTCTTCAGATGCCCCTCTGATCTGTTGATATTGGCTTCTATAGTCTTCTCATTTTAATTCTTATTTTTTCTGTGTGTGCTGATTCTCCTCATCACGTAATTTCTAAGTTAGGAGATTTTCTTTTAAATCATCTAACCACTTCCTCTGAATTAGGGGAATATGATGCCATGTTTTCATGCACCATCCAGATTTGTCTAGTGTTAGGTCACATTTTAAACTTTTAGTTTTCAAAAGCATTTTTATGTAAGAGCTATGCGTTCCAAAACCCAAGTAAAGCAGTAAATGTGAATATTATCCTTACATGCTGTGATACAAACCATGTAATCCTAATTATATTACATATTGCAGGTGAAATTATATGCAAGTTGACTTATAATGATTGAGTATGTTGCCATGAAAAGAACGAAGAGGAAAGGAAAGGATAGCAAAACCAAATCCTTTCTTGTCAGCAGTTGGTATTTATTTTCTTGTCCACATTTGGTATTTATTTTACTTCGTACTTTACCAGGTGTGGTCAAATTCAGATGGTGCATTTCACTGTGGCATTCAGAATCAACAGGCAATGGAAGTTGCTTTTGGGTGGTCTGTTTGAAAATGTGGAATTTTCTACAGCTCTTCACCCTGCCTTTGCTCATTTAAAGACGAAGATTTATTTTATGAAGAATTCCTGTCTGTCCCGGAAACCCTCCACAGCCAAGTTAAGAAAGCATAGCAGTATAACAACACCATTACTTTTCTTTTCAGTAATGTTTATTGCTGTTTCTCTATATAGAAGTTCTATATCAGATGGGCTTAAACAGAAAGTTGCTTTGACCTTTTTCTATCTTCTTTCACTTTCCTTGAGACACTAAGAGATAACAATCAAAGCCTTATTGGTTTTTGAAGCTCAATATCAGTAAAATAATCCAACTGCTGAGAAAGGAATAAATGACTTCCTGATAGGGTGAAAACTCAACATCTGTGTGTGTGTGTGAGAGAGAGAGAGAGAGAGAGAGA